CCCCAAAACCCCAAAACCCCAAAACCCCATTAAAAAGCATATGATGTAATTTATGAAATTAAGATTAAGCTTATAAATATATTTTCATTGATCATACTTATTATGCAAGTTTTTTAGTTGCCTCTTTGACCATTCTATCTATTTCAGCTGATGCCTATCTAGTATTATTTATAGTATTCCTCATATGTTAACTTATATCACTTTTTGAGTTTATTGTTCTCTTTGTGCCTACTATCAGCTTTTCTACAAGAGAATAATTTGATTACAGTTGCTGCATTATTAAAGATTGTTTAACACTTCCTGAGTAATTCTCAATGGTAGTCCAAATATGTTTACAATGCACAGTGAAATCCAAGTCCTCAGGATCAGTAATTGAAAGTAGAAATGTCAAGAATAGAGGTGGGTCAGTTTGGAAGCATCCTTTGATTATCCTGTCTGCTATTTCTTACACTTAGTGATAGCATCCTCTATTAATTATAACTAGTGCCCATATTCTAACTTCTTTTCTGAATTTCTAAGAATCCATAAGGATCTTTATGCAGATTGGTATTATTCCATTTTAGGTATTTATCTCACTCATTTTAGCGGTTTTAGCAAACTCACCAAATATTCTCAGCACATACATCAAAAGGTCTTATTCTTCTGGATATAATGACTCATAATTAGCCATTTCATTTATATCGCTAATTAGGAACTAAAAGTCTGATAGCTGATATACTATGTCATGGATGTATTGATCTTGCAAAATAAGAGACATCATCTTGATAGCTTAGATTCTAATTTTCTCATCTTCAGCGGTAAAATTTTTAAGTAAAGTATTTAAGTATTCTATTCTTCCCTTTTAATTGATTTCACTTACAAAGCCCTCTATACAGTAGAGGCATAAGATATGTGAAGAATAAATGCTCAGCTGCAGATCATTACTGTTGACATAGAATTCGATACACTAGGATATTCCTTAACCCTTCAAGTCAAACTCTGAAAGTATTGTCTTTGGATTGTTTTCACATAGTATCATTATATTTTTCAAGCCAAGGTCTAGGATTCTTTTGTCCTTGCTTTTAAGGGAATTTATTAAGGCTGGTAGAATTTTCATATCATTGTCAGTTTTGGTTTTTTCACTTTCAGTCATTTTCTTAAGTAATATCAGAGCCTAGAGACTTACATCATCTTTTCCTTATTGAATAACTTGGAGAATATAAGGATGTAGTTTCTCATAATTTCTACTTTTTATCTCACTATTATAGCAAAGGTTGAAAGCAATTCTAATAGCATAAATTTATTCTTCAGAAGTATGACCATTTACCATATTATAAATAAGAGAGTCAAGTAAACCGGATTCGTAAATAGCAGGCTTAAAATGTTTGGAAAGTGAAAGATTCATGAGTATCAGAAGAAGATTTTCTGTGTAAACCTGATCAGTGGACTTTTAATGCTCACCTAATGCGGCATGCAATACTCTATCATTAGTTATAGAATTTCTAATGGCCTCATCTTTGATTAGAAAAGCGAGGGCTTCTGCAGAATTTCTCTTAACAATTACCTACTTATGAAGCATGCAATCTACTAGTATATTTATTGAATCCTTCTCTTATAAGATATTGTTAATTGAGCCTTCCTCAGCAATCATTCCAACAATTTATGCTGCCTAAGCCTTATAATTATCATGTTAACTTTACTCAAGATAATTTATTATGGTGTCTAATCCAGCAACTTTTGAAATTTCCTCTGACATTTAGTTTGTCCATTCAATGTCCCATTTATCCAGTTTGCAGAGTAAATTAATCGCTGATATATGTCTGCTCATTGTGTAGTTGTTGTCCTCAGTTGGTCTCTTTGGAGCAAGAGTTTTAATAATTTTTTTGGAAGCATTGAGAGCTATCATCTCTGTTTATTATATCCATTTTGAATCCACCAACTCAGATGCGATTATTGTTGCTTTCTCATATATCTATTGGTTATTTGATTCAAAGGACTAGTGAATTACCAGTAAGAATTCCTACTTTCTTTTCACACATTCGAGCTTTAGAGAGTTATCTCCAATCACTTAATCAAGCAATTCTGATTTTATGGAATCGTTAGTACCACTGGAGTTCCATTTCTAAAAGAATTGTTCTACTGTTATAAGTTTTTAAAGATTTTATTAATTTACTCCTCTAGTCATCTTTGATGCACTAGCTCCTCTGAGCTAAGATGCTGGGCGACTCTGTTTGATATCAGGGAGTGAGATATCATTCAATTTTTTAGAACCTTGGTTACTAATTATAACAGATTAATTATTCCTATTTTCAATAGAAGCTGAAGGTGCTCTTGGGAGCTCTCTTAGATTAGTCATTTTATTATTTGTATACTATAGATCATTGATCTATTTTTGAATATCAGTTAATCTCTTATTTGCTCTTTATAGATCAATATCTCTTTGTCTCAGTAATGAGAAAGCTTCTTTTTTTTCTCTCTTGAATTTATCAACCTAATCCATTAAGATTTGAATCTACTAGTCTTTACCTTCAAAATCTTTTTGAATACCTTGCTAGAACTCTTTAAGCATTTTAATTTCTAATTCGTATTTTTCAGTTGATTATTCAAAGAAGTGAGATTACTTGCTTAGTTCAGTTTCAAGTTCCTTTACCTTTTGCCTAGCCATTTCAGATGTTATTTTAGCACTTTACTCGAAGGACGATTTTTCCTTATAGTACTTTCTTTGTTCTTCATTAAGTTTAGTCATCAGATTTACAAATTTATTATCATTTAGCAGTGAATTATTAGCTAAATCCGATGCATGTTAGACCTGCTCTTAAATTTCTTTCCTAAAATGCTCCTCTTGAATCTTCAACTCTTCATTCAGCATTGTAACTTTCCTTACAAAATCATCCTTCTCAAGCAATGAATCTCTCAGTTTAGTTTCAAGTATTTTAACTTTACTCTATAATTAAGCAATGATGATAGCATCATTCTCTATTCCAACTACATTTCTTTTATCCTTATTTAGTTTGCTCAGCTCTGCTTCATAGTAGACCTATTATGCTTTAATTTCTTAGTTTAATCCTGCTACTTATTACCCAGCTTGATCCAATTCTTATCTGGCATTAGTAAGTTCTTGCCTTAACTTTTACATTGTCATTTTCTCAACATGCTACTGCATATCTTTATTAAAATCTTCATCATGTCTTTGGGATCTTAAACCTTCTAATTCCTCTCTTAATTGAGATATTTCCTTTTCTGACCCCTCATGCACCATTTTTAATTCTCTTTCAAGTACAATGACTTTGCCTTTTAAATCATTTATTAAGTCTCTTTACTCTTTCATTATCTTGGGATCAGCAAACTGTAATTTCTTTATCATATCCTGGCACTTTCTGTCAAGCTAATCATTAGTATCTTAGAGTTATCTAATGTCTATTTGATATTTTGAATCCCTAGCCTTGAGCTCTCGCATTTCTCCTAACAGTTATTCTCTTTCCTCCATCATTTCACTTCTAATTTTACTAAACTTTATAAGATCCCCTTCTTGTTCATTCAATTTCTTTTAAAGTTAGGCGTTAATTACCTAAAGTTATCCACTTCTTTCCTTCAATGTCCTATCAGCATTCAAGCTCCCATCTAATTCATCTTGTAATTTCTAGCATCTCTCTGTAAGCTGATTGATTTCTAGTTTTGCATAATCATTTGATTTTTATAACTCCTTTTCTATAATATTCAATCTTTCTTTTGCTGCCTTAAGTTCAATTTTGAGTTTTGTAGCTTCATCAGCATGAGCTAATCTTCTCAATTGACTATTTTCTTCTTAGGCTTCATTTAGCTTTGTATTAAGAGTTTCAATATTTTTCTCTTTGGTTCTCTTGTCTAACTCCAGGTCATTTATTTTTCCTTTATAGCCAATAATTCTCTCCTAGAAATCACTTTCTTTTGCTTTAAGAGTTCTCTCAAGTTCCTTTATTCTTTCCATTGTAACAACAGTAATGTTATTATTTTCTGATAATCCAGCAATCCCTTTATCCCCTTTGATATCGGGCTGCTAATCATCATCTACTAAATGAGCTTTTAATCTCAGAGTCTAGTTTTCCTTCTTAAGGTTGATGATAAGTTTATTTTATTCATTAAGTTAATTGTTTAGTTCATCTATTTTTTTCTAGAGTTTATTTTCATTCACAGCTTCTACTGCTTACTTCCATTGTCTTTCCATTTTAGCCAGTGTTTCCTTGTATCTAGCTAGCTCCTACTCTAATTCAGAGTTTTTCTATTTTAGCTAATCCATTAAATTAAATAATTATTATAAATTTAAAGAAATCAAAACTTAATTAAACCTTCATCACTTCCATTTTTATCTGAACCCACTTTATCTTTCAAATTTGGAGTTTGATTTTATTTGTCCTTAAATTGCTATCTCTTTTAGTAGAGATCCTCCTCTGTTAATTACTTTTTTACTATCATTTTATCTTAATTAATTCCTACAACACATGCTTTGTACTCATCTAGATTATTCATGCATTGCTTATAAAGTTTTCTCTTTCCAAATGGCAATTTTTTATTCAAGTACTATTCATTACAGGTTTGATACTTGAGAAAGTAATCATTGCATAGCATTGTATCCATAAAATAATATGCAAGAGCGTCTGGATCGCGCAAATCATTGTTAGCTTTTGAAAATAATCCCATTAATAATTTATAATCACAAAATTATATTATTTTAGAGTCTATCATAATTTCATTTTTCGCTTAGATTATTCCAAAGGGGTTTTGGGGTTTTGGGGTT